GATATATAAAAACAACTTGAGAATTTTTCTATAATTCCATTAAAGTCAACAATAGCTAAATAACTAAGTAGAACAATATACATTATTTTCAAACTTAAGAATTTTTATTTTCATATTTTCTAATTTCGAGGTACTATTTGTATCTGGTCTCATTGGTACATACGTTTTTGCACAGATGACAATTAGATTATTTTTACTCTTTTTTAAAAAAGCAAACATTATTTTAAAATCAAAGTGGAGGGAACACGATGAAATTTACTACTGTATACCAATATCGTGCCTTGCTCATTATTCATATTATCTAATTTAATCTGCCCTAACCGGAAGCTAAAATAGTCCCATTTTCCGTCAGTTGCCAACAGCTGCTTTTGTATTTTCCCTATATAGTGAAAAAATGGAAAAATCTAGTTGTTTTCTGTTTGCTTGTGTTTTTTTCTTTCTCTTGCAGCTTCTTTAAACTTTTGCTTGTGCCGTCATGTTTTCTTTCCCCTCGGCGACCTGGCCTCACTCCCATTTCTCACAGTGTCTCTAGTTCCCACACGGGTTCCATCGATCCTAGGTTCTGCTGCCCTCCTGCCCGCCGGTACGGCTGGTTCAAAGCTCACAACTATGAAAAGCAGATTCTTTTTTCTTGGTAGCCTTCGCTCTTACTTTATTTGACTTTAGTTCCTTCCTATTACCTAAAGGTTTTGACATCATTTTTTCTGGCAGTTCATTTGGTTGCCTCCCTTCCGTCCTTTGTTCAGTTCTCCTTCATCATTTCCAGCTAGATGTTCCCTTCCCTTGATACGTCAAATTCTTACATTTCTTTATGAACATAATAAATGGTCATCAAACTTGATGCTTGTCTTCATTGGAGCCAGTAAAACAAATTTAAGGGTCTTATTTAATACATACATATACACACTGCATTAGAATAAATCAAATTAAATGGTTGTGATTCTCTTGCAGAAACACGATGGCCACTTCACAGTCATCCAGTTGGTCGGGATGCTCCGCGGCATCGCGTCGGGCATGAAGTATCTTTCTGATATGGGCTACGTCCATCGGGACCTTGCGGCTCGGAATATACTGGTCAATAGCAACTTAGTGTGCAAAGTTTCTGATTTCGGTCTCTCTCGAGTGCTGGAAGATGACCCAGAAGCTGCTTATACAACAACTGTAAGTTATATGGCCTTTCCCAATATAATTTGTTTACTTTTATTGTTTTTAATGTTATTGGAGTAATTCTGTTTTCATTTTCCCAGTGTTCTGCTTTCATTTATCATTTTGCTAATTTTACATCATTATTTAATTGAGAAGTATTTGCTTTATCTGAGTCCCTAGTTAAAAAAATTTAAAACATGTTTTATTTCTTTCATGTACTAGGACTTTAATATCATACTTGAGATATATCTTATGACTGCCCTCACAACAAATTTGTCTTTGCCTGAAGTATTGTTGTTGCTTCAATAATTATTTAGAGTTATATAGAGTTCAATAGACAAATGGTGCAATCAATTACTAATTGATAGTGATAGTGAGGAACCAGTGATTATGAAGTGATTTTTTTTTCAAATGTTATGGAATGATCTGATCATACCTTAAAATGAACATTATAGGTTTCTCTGGAGATATGTAAGTATACTCTATACCTTTTTCTAAATGATACTTGAAGAAAATGTGAGCAGGAATAAAAGTTTAAAACTTTGGAACAAAACTATCATCTGGCAATTACATGATCTCAATTCATCGCATGGATAGTTTAAATATTTCTGCATGCCCTAAGCCAATTCATTTCATTGATCTCTTTGGTTATTGTTTTGAGAAATTCAATCTCAAAGTCTCTGTAGTGTTATCTTAAAACTATTATTTATAAAATTATATTATATTCTGTTATTTTTTTTAAACAAAGTCTCACTATTGACTCATTTGACAATCAGCTTCAGTGAAAAATAAGTCAGTAAAACTATTCAAAATGTTTTATTCTGTTCCTTTTCTAACCTTACATATTATTTTGAAATATGCAACTACACTATTTAGTTCCTTTTTATTTCTTTTTCTGTGAGATTTTTGGAAACTTTGCTGTATTCAATTACTCTACAATAGATGAAGGTTTAATATTATGAACAGAATATTTTATGCCCTTACTCTATTTGCTTTGTAGAAATGCTCTATATTAATTCATCAATGATTTTTTCACAATTTCTTCAACAAAGGAATATAGTTCTAAGGAAAATAATTTAATCTCTCATTGTCCAATATACAAAGTAGCAGTATCTATTGATCTTTTAATTTGACCAAGAAAACTTTGTGAAAAGTCTGTCAATTCTGAAAATAATTTGTTCATTTTAGAAAAAGCATTTTAACTCCATTTTTAATTGAAAATATCATAACTATTTTTATTTTTCTCAAGGTGTTTATTTTCCTCTCTTTTATTTTTACAAGTGTATAACTTAAAACAACTTTTGGAGTTATAGAACAATGCATATGAAATTTTTCTATTAAGCACATATTCTCCATTTCCAACCATGGAGAATAGTGTTTAAAATTATTTTATATACTATAAATTATAACATTTATAAAAATTGCAACAAATATAATCTGCTAAAAGACTAAAATAGGAAAAAACTACTAGATTCCTTGGCCGTAAGCCTATATAGATACACTTGAAATCCCTTATAAAATAATATTTTAACTGCCTTTTAAAATGGAAGCTAGCAATCAAATTTAAGATAGCAATAAAATTGGCAGGTAACTTATTTTATATGTATATGTTTGTCAGATCAAATTTGACATCTAGACTCTAGGCATTTTCTGTCTTATGTCATTATAGAGACTAAGAGGCCTAGAACAGGGCTATTTTAAATTTAGATCAGACTACAGGATTAAACAGCAAATTAGGTAACCAGAATATTAACACTCCAAAAAGTGCCTGTGAAAAGCTACAGATTATGTCTTTATTAAGAAATAAGTCTCTGAATTTAAGAGGTATCAATTAAATGGCATATAATATAATCAAGTTATTTTTTAAAAAAGTCTCAGAACTACCTTACTGCTCAGAGGATTGACTTTATAATGAACATGGATGTTCAATACTTAAAATAGCAAAGCTCTTGCCTTCGAAGATGTTATGCTTTGACAGGGTAGACAAACTAATGCTTCCTTGCAATTCAGTACATTAAGCAATGTCATTGAGGTCGGAAGAAGGCTTCACAAAAAGACAAAATGTGAGCCAGGTCTTAGAAGATTTCATTAGGCAGACAACTGGAGGAAAGGTAGCCCAGATAGAGGAAGGAGGAAGAGAAAAGACATGGAAATGCAGAGAAGTAAATGGGCATCTTAACAGAAGTGTGGGGTTAAGAACAGTGTGGGGCCCAAGTTTCTTAGAAATAATTGTAAAGGTACCTGAGTGGTACTCCAAGAAGTTTGAAGGGTTTTTTAAATTTTTTTTTTAATAGCAGCTGCAGACAGATACTGACTTATTTAAATAGGGGAATAACAAAAATAGAAGTATGTCTTAGAACAGCCGTCCCCAACCTTTTTGGCACCAGAGACTAGTTTGATGGAAGACAATTTTTCAATGGACGGTGGGTGGGGAGGTATGAGAGCGGGGTTTGGGGTGATTCAAGCCCATTACATTTATTGAGCAGTCAAACCTCTCCGCTAATGATAATCCGTATTTGCAGCCGCTCCCCAGCTCTAGCATCACTGCCTCAGCTCCACCTCCGATCATCAGGCATTAGATTCTCCTAAGGAGCGTGCAACCTAGATCCCTCCCATGCACACTTTACAGTAGGGTTCACACTTCTATGAGAATCTAACGCTGCAGCTGATCTGACAGGAGGTGGAGCTTATGCAGCTATAGGAGCAATGGGGAATGGCTGTATATACAGATAAAGCTTCGCTGGCTAACCTGCTGCTCACCTCCTGCTCTGCAGCCTGGTTCCTAACAGGCCACAGATTGGTACCGGTCCACACCCCGGGAGTGTTGGGGACTGCAGTCTTAGAAGATATTATTGATAACAGTGTAAAGAAAGAAAGGAGTATTGAAGGACAGGAGGACTTGGTAACAGAGAGGGCAGTTAGGCATTATTGCTATAGATTGGAAAGGTCACATGGCTTTAACTAGGGCAGCGGTGGTTGGCATAAAGAGGAGGGGAGAGAATTAAAAATCATTGTGAACATATAGTTTACAAGGTTTGATAACTAATTAGCTACAAATTGTAAGGAAGAAGGAGAATTTAAAGATCACTCTAATATTTCAGATTAAACAACTGGCTGAATGGAGATGTCATTAATCAAGACAGAGAACCCCTGTTAGAGATGGCCTGGCTAATGGCATTAGATCATAAAGCAAAATTATAAACAAAGGTCAGAGATATTCTGTCTCAAAGTCATCAAGATAATGCTGAATGAGCAGCACTGGCATGCAGTTGGTACTTTGTAGAAAACTTTTAGAGCTTTATATGAATGTGCTGAGACTCCAAATACTCTTTGTATTTCCTGTTAAAAGGAATGATATAGTTAGAAAACTTTACTGCCTAGTGAAGCTATACCTCAACTCAAGCATACCCTGTATAACAAAATACAGGGAAATAATGCTTATTTATATGAAAATGATTCTTTGTTTTATAAAAGTATCTACATGAAAATAACTTTAAAGAGCAAGCTTCTTTGACATGTCTTTAAAAATATGATTCAATATTTAGAAGATGTATCTATATTTACCTACCTTGGAACGTAGCTCATACCTTACATGATTTTTTTTCTTGCTGTGTAAAAATAATTGCTATTTCCTTGTTATTTGTAAATGTTTTTATAATATGCATCAGCAAGGGTTTATAAAAGTATCTACATGAAAATAACTTTAAAGAGCAAGCTTTTTTGACATGTCTTTAAAAATATGATTCAGTATTTAGAAGATGTATCTATATTTACCTACCTTGGAACGTAGCTCATACCTTACATGATTTTTTTTCTTGCTGTGTAAAAATAATTGCTATTTCCTTGTTATTTGTAAATGTTTTTATAATATGCATCAGCAAGGGTTTGGAGGAAAGGGAGCCTGTGGGTGTTTAAAAACAAGAAGACATCATGGATAAGATTTGAGTTTTTTGGCATACTTTTTTCTGTGTAATCTTCAAAGGAAAAAAAATCCTTAGAATAGTATGCTACATGGAAGCTATCCCTTTCTAATCAAAATAGGGGCAGAATAAATAGACATTTTCCATTAAGGTGACTTTGCCAATTTAGAGAGCCACATATCACAACCAACAGCAATCAGAACTGGTTAAAGAAGACAGGCTGGAAAGATAGAGTGAACAGAGTGAGCCCAGCGCCGTCAATGGTACTGGACTGGTCCACATGCACAGATGAGCAGAATGGCCATGAGAACCAGAGTGGCCAGACCAGAACAGATGACAAGAGAGATTACCCTCCAACAGTGAGTGAGTCCTGTAGAGCCCTATTCAAAAGTCATATACATGTAATATATGCCAGTGTTATCTACATTATAAAATACACTAAAGAGAAGGACGAGATTTACAACTAAATATAAGTAGAATTTCTAATATTTCTTCCTACAACTTGATTGTTTTGTGTGCCCTGTTCTAGGGCTAAGAAAAATTCATTCATTGTGTACTCGACATAGTTTATTATGGGGGTACCATATTTCAGGCCCTATTCTTTGGAGGGCCAATTGTGACGCAGTTTTACTAGTTACCAAACCCAAGAGAAGATTCCCACTCTGTGGAGAATAGCAAAGATCAAAAAGATCATCACTATGCCAAGTACTACAAACAGGAGTCCATACACTTATGCCCACTGCATCCCAGCCTACTGTGTAGGTACACCATGCACCAGTTACCTATTTATCTGAATCCACTAAGTCAGAATACACTCACACAAGTTATTTGAAGTGGGTTTGTTACTTACAGATAGTCCACAAAGGACAGAAGTCTTGGGTCCATTGTGAGCAGATCTCCCAAGGCTCAAGAAAGCTGCCCAGGGTGGATGAAGTCTTGATGCGCAAGCCCCACTTTGCACCACAGCTGAGGGACCTTGCAAGACAGCCCACCCTGGGTTACATACCTGAGAGGCCACATGACCCCCTGGACAAAGCTTTGGAGAACATCCTGCTTCCAGGGGAAAGAGGAACAAAGCTTGGGCTGTTCTGGGAA